TTTCTAGCTGACAAATCATGAGTACTTGGAATCAATTTAAATGTCCTTCATTGCAGTGCGTGTAGTTTATTTCATGGGCCCATTAATTAATTTGGTTTTTGTTGTGTAATTTTGTACAATGGTTGGTTGTAATATGGCAACAAAACTGGATCTTCAGAGATTTATTGTTCTGTAATAGTTTGGATAATTAAGTGCCTAGTATATAGGACTATTAACTTGAAAGCTATTTTTTCCTACATATATGCAATGAAAAATAGTCTCTGAATAATGAATATCATTCCTGTATTTGATTCATATCTGAAAGTAATTTTGAAGAATTTTGATTTATCTTGTCTAAAGTACCTCTTGTGTGTTTTCTGACTCCTTCCTGCTCAACATATGCTGTAGGGCATTTTGAAATGAAGGTGAGTGAAACTGATACAACCCATAAAAATAGATGAATGGTATTAAGCCATTTGATTTATCCATGTAATCATGAGCTGTGGTATTCCTTGAGCCTCCGCATCGTTCTTTCACGTAAACATGTTACGCTGTGGCTGGATTCAGTAAACACTTCCCCAGAGCTTTTCACTGGCCATGGAGATGGTTGGTACAGCATTCAAGGCAGACCTGCTTTCCCTGGACTCTGTACAGCTTCAGGAGCCTGTTAGAGCTTTTACTTACCATAGCCTCTGGACTACTGGAGGGAGATAGTCCTGTCACCTGCAGTTACTGGAAACCATGGTGCCTCCAGCTGCAGGTGTCCAGGAACCTGCAGATCACTTCCAGCTTGATCATTCTCATTCTGCATTCTTCTGAGCAATTACTGCAATGCAGAGCTGACAGTACAGTTCCTGAGACAATGTGTGCACAGTCTTATGTCTCCAGTTATTCAGGAAAAAAAAATTACTAACCCCTTCAGTAGCCAGATGGAAATTTTGAAACTGTTTATTCCATGCTATAGAACCCATGATGTCATTTAGCTTTCACTATGCTGAAAACAAAGCCAAAGGCTCCTCTACACATTCCCCCTCTGCTTTATTGTGTTTGAGATGGAAGGGTAATTGTTTTTGGCAAGGGTGCCTGGATTACAGCTGCCTCTGACTTCCAGGTTTTTTTAATGCCATCGTGGTGGCTAAATATGTGCAGAACACTGTGACACAGTGGGGAAAATGGGATTTCATTTCTTTGAAATTAGAAAAAAATGTGATTCTTTCCCTTTGAAGACAATTGCCAGAAAACCAAATCGATTCTATTTTATTTTTAAGACTTGGAAGGTTTTGATTCTGTAATACCAATTGCTGAGAAGCTTAATCATCCAACTACAACCAGACCAAAAGCTACTGGCAGGCGACCACCCTCCCAGTCTCTCACATCTGTAAGTTAATTTTCCTTTTATTTAAAAACTATTTTTAAAAATATTTTTTTCTGAATTCCCCCCCCCCTCCTACTTGTGTTCCTTGGTGATTTTACTACTTTTACCCAGCCATTCCTTCACACGTACAATGAGGCAGAGAGATGCAGATCAGGAAAATTCCTGTCAAAAGGCTGCCAGTGTTTCGAATACTGATGTTTAAAACATTCCCTTCCTTCTAAGGTTTATACCCCCTTATTTGGGTGCTGCCAGGTGTTTCTTGCCAGCCATGACTGAGCCCAGAAGAATCCCTTATAAAAATCTTTGGAATAGACTAATTTGTGCGAAGTATTGAGGATTTTTGAAAATGTTTTCCAAAATAAGCATTTCTCTTGGTTTCTTGCAGACATCTACCAGATTTTGAAGACAAATAGAACATTCAGTGTTCAACAGCCCTCCTTGGGCTATCATGTGTTTCTTATGAAGGTCACAGTTGTAAATACAAGGATGATTTAAATTTCACTCTCTAATATCTATCTTTAGACAAGATAGATTGTTTTGGTCTTTATTTTGGTCTTATAAACAATACTTTGGAAACCCACTGCTTAGTTTTTCAATGTCTTCTTCTCTGGGGTTTTTTGGGGTTTCTTTGTTTCCATGCTTTTTGCACTCTGGAATATGAGAATGAGAGCAACTATGGTTACTGCAGTCCGTATTGTTGAAGAAGAACAAAGTGGAAGGAAGCAAAAAGGATTAACTAATAGAACTAATAGAACTCAAAAAGCAAAAAGGATTAACTAATAGAACTCAAAACAGAGAATGCTTTCAAAATTGACTGCTGTAATAAGTATAGAAATCTCAAAGAGCAGTGTAGAGGTTCTCCTTCCCCTGTCATATCTACGAGGAAAGGATCAGGGGGTGGAAAGGACCTTCCCTTTTTGTGCCTTTACCAAGAAGCCGTGCACAAGGCAGCCCTGCAGTGCCAGCACCGTGCACTGGCAGTGGCTGGGCCCCTGGAGAGCAGCAGGGTGAGAGCTGCTCTGAGCAGAGCCACGGCAGAGCCGCCCCGGTGACAGAGCGGGCACAGCAGTCCGGGACAGGACGCTGCTTTCATCTTGTGGTATCATGCAGTGCACAGCTGTAAATTGATGTTGAATTCAACTCATAAACATACCTTATTTCTTGAATGCTTTGAAAGCAGTCTAGCTTTGAAAATAAGATGCAAAAAAGGGGGAGTACGGGGACAAAGAGTCCTGATTTTAAGTATTGTTACTTTGAAAATGATAGCTAAAAAATTCTTGTACAATGAAAATATCTGTGCTTTTCTTTTTCTTCTTTTTTGGTGTGTGTTTGTCTATATAGTCATCCCTTTCAAGCCCTGATTTCTTTGACTCACCAAGTCCTGAAGATGAGAGGGAAGAACACGTTTCCATTACTCACAAAACTCTTGACGTGTCAAGGAAATCAAGAACTGTTACAATATCACAAGTAAGTTAATTGGAATGCCTCTGCTGAGCCTTATCACATGCATCTTCTTTTTTCAAAGCAATACTGAGATATTTAAAATTTAATTCATCAGTCACTTGGTAACTGCCCACTTAAAGAAGCTTAAAATGATAAAGGTTACTAAAGATTGTTCTGTGCTTGAAAGGCAAGTTTAAAGTGAATTGCACAGTTAAAATGTGTCAAATACCCATACTGTGAAAAAAGTCTTTCTTGTGTAAATGGATTTTACAGAATCAGAGAGGCTGGGAAATAAATTTTAGAAACAAAGATCCTGTCTTTTTGCAACTTTAAATTGAGTTTACATTAGAAGAGTCTGTGAGCAGAGAAAATACAACTCTTTGACACACTATAATAGTATGTGAATTTAAATTTGTAAATATAATCACTTTTTATACGGATATAATTGTATTCCTTTTATAGGCTTGTGCCATTCTTCCTGTATATTGGTAGACTACTATAGTGGAATCAATACTACAAAAGGAGTGTGTTGGTCAGGCTTTAAAGGTTGGAATTCTTTTTGAGTACATAAGGATACCTTTAATAATAAAAATACTACATTCTAATAGTTTAACAAGTATTTGAAAGATGAAATCATGCACTTCTGGATCAAGTTATAAGGATAATGTTTTGCTATGTAGCTCCCTCTTCTGGGAGCATTTGCACCAAGGAATGCTGCTGGGCCAACATTTCTGAATTGTATGACAGTGCTGTAGATGTTGTTCCTGTAAAATGAGATGGCTGCTATTAGAAAGCAGCTACTTGAGGCTTTAATGTTGATAGCCAGTTAAGCTCTGGAATAAGATGCTCAGATCAATGACTCCAGTTGTGCCTTTCTTGCCTGCTCCAGATTTGAACTCAGCCTGAAATTTCTTTTCAGTCCAAAGAAAACTTGCACCTACTGATATGTGGGGTTACTGTCCATGAAAGATCTGTTTATAGGTACATATTACTCACACCCCACTCTGCTCTGGTGAGACCCTATCTGGAGGTCTACATCCAGCTCTGGGGTCTCCAGCACAGGAAGGACATGGACCTGTTGGAGCAAGTCCAGAGGAGGCCACTGAGATGATCAGAGGGATGGAGCACCTCTCCTGTGAGGAAAGGCTGAGAGAACTGGGTTTGTTTGGCTTGGAAAAGGGGAGGCTTTGAGGTGACCTGATTGTGGCCTTCCAGTACCTGAAGTGAGCTGACAAGAAAGATGGAGAGGGACTATTTTAGAAGAACATGGAGTGATAGGAAAGGGTGATGGAATGGTTTCAAACTGAAACAGGGTAGGTTTAGATTAGATATTAGGAAAAAAATTCTTTACTGTGAGGGTGACAAGGCACTGGAATGGATGCTAAAACAGAGAAGTTGTGTATGCACCATCCCTGGAAATGTTTAAAACCAGGCTGGATGGGGCATGGAGAAGCCTGGTCTAGTGAAAGGTGCCCCTTTCCATGGCAGGGAGATTGGAACTAGGTGACCTTTAAGGTCCCTTCCAACCCAGATGCACAAACTAATTGATAAAATGTTAAAAGAATACTATTCAGGTAATTGAGTCAAGTTTTCAAGGCAGAAAAGTGATTCAACTTTCTTGTAATTATAATACCATTTTTGTTTACATTTATGGTCATACTTGGTTTTTGTGGAGAGAAATTCTTGAATTCAGTGTTTTCCCAGATCAGGTTCTGTGCTTAATCATGGTTGTATGACCTAACATTCCAACAGTATAGTAGGGAAGACTGTTTTTTACACAACTTGGTGGATCCTGCTCTTCTCTCCCCATCATAATTTTTCCTGATTTTCATCTCATCACTTAACTTTTCTCTCAATTACTCTGTTCAGCTAATACCACCCTGCCAATCTCCAAGTCCTCACATACAGTGTCTCCTTCCATTTCCATACCATTTATTTTCAGTATTTTGCCCTATTTACCATTCAACTTCAATATCTCTTTTTTCAAAGAGAGTTGGAAGACTGCCTAGAGCTTTTTCTTACTCTTGTCCAAATTAGATTTTCAAACATGCCTGGTAGCTGTCATGTATTGCATACACAGCACTGCCAAATAACAGTGCAAAGATTCCCCTTGCTTGCCGTTGTGATAACTGTACTTGTACACTGTTCTCTGTATGCAGTGAAGTAGATGGTCATGTATGCTTGGTCAACTGCAGATTTTCTAATTGTCTAATAAGTATAAAATTTTATATTACATTATATACACATATTACATTAGGTAGCATATATAAATAGAAGCTTGTCTAATAAGTAGAGCACTGGATCACAGTTAAGAAGCATGGAATCTTATTTAGCTAACCACATGATTCCAGGGTTATAGGTTAATGGTGTGTTTTTCTGTCAAGTTCCTGGAGGAATAAAGAGCTATTGGTAGTTATGGGGATTCATGGAAGCTTTGATTAATAGAGGACAGTAGACTACATTTATTTATTATTAATATCATTTTGAAGCCATGGGATTTTTTTTCTATATATATCATACCAACAAGCAAATCTAGTGAATATTTTTCTATTTTCATAATGCTAGGGGGAACCTGTAATACATTTTTTAATTTTTGAAAAATCTTGGAAGATTCCTTCAATAGTTGGTTGGGAAATTATAAATTTAACTTACAAAAAAAATACAACTTGGATTCATGTATTTTTGTGCTCTGTGGGAGACATCCGTGGGTATAGACATGTTCTCACAAACATCTGAGAGAAACACTGAGCATCTATCCCTGGTTTAATTTACTTCTAAGTCTGAGATCATAGAAATGCTGTTGCTGAACTTTTGCATCACAACTAGACCCCCTGAAGCACACATACAAAGATGACTAATCACTATATTTATCATGCTTTTGCCAAGATCGTCCATGTTTGACTGTTGGAATTTCAGCATTACCAAAGAGCGGCTAAATATTTAGCATTGGTTAGAGGTTTGGTTTTCATTAAAGCTTTCTGCAGACATTAAATGTTATTCTTTTTGTTGCAGGTGTCTGATAACAAAACTTCCTTGCCTCCAAAACCAGGAGGTCTGGCTAGTGGCAGTAATGTACAGCCATCACTATCCCCTTCACCATCACCTGGGTTTCACTCAATTGCTATGGGAACAACAGGCCACAGGTCAAATTCCCCATCCCTGTTTGGTACTGAAGGAAAGCCAAAGACTGAGCACTTGAGCCAAGGTCAGACTGCCCTGGAAGAGCTGAGAACACAAATTAGGGAGCTAAGAACCATCATTGAAACCATGAAAGACCAGCAAAAGTAAGTACTGCAAATCACAGCTGTGGGTGGGATGGATGTGTTAGTGCATAGTGGTGGCAGTTTCTGATTGAGTTTGCCTTCATGGATGTTACTCTGCACAGTTGGCATATGTGTTTGTGAGTGATTTTCATGTGACAGAACATATTCAGGGGTGAGAACCTCCACAAAAAAGATCTGCACTATCCACCAGCTTTTTTTTCCTGTGTTATGATGCAAGTAGATGTTTACGGGTGGTAAAAAAGTTAACTTGCAAGCTATTAGCAGTGAATTTTGGTTTATTTGTCAATAACGATCTGGAATCTCATGTGCATTGATCATAACAAAAGGAGTGCATTTCTTATAGGTGTAGTACAAATTGCTACAAGCTCCTAAAGTTATTAAATTAATTTGTTATTTGACTGTTAGCACATTTTCCCAGGAAGCTCATGTTACTCAAATTGCGACTAGGTCATCTGAAGGCCTTTGTGTTTATGGCCTTGAATCTTACTATTTTAGTTTTGGGCACCTTTTTTTTCTTTAAGTTGTTCATTTCTTAGGAGAAAACTGGGGCTGGCGTGTAACTTTTGATGTTCCTGAGACTATTGAATGCTTTGGAAGCTAAACCTTCACTTACATTGTCAGTTGTGTGTAGCCCAGGCAGGAAAAAGAAAAGGGCAAGCAGCGTGCAGAGCCTGTGGCGGAACAGAGGTGTGCGGAGTTTGGGAGAAGATGCGGGAGGGCATGGTTCAAGCTGGATGTAGCCAGCAAGCCCCACGGCCTCGCCTCTTAGGCTGACCCTGCTCCTCTGGTCTCCCCGGCCCTTCTTGCAAGGGCAGCTTCCACCTACTGGTATCTGTCCTAAGGTGAGATCACTCAGTGGGAACATGAGAACGTGCCTGCTCCTTATAGCTATGTTCCCTTTCCCAACAAAGAAGAATGACGGAAAATCCATATTTGGGATCGTTAAGTCTTATAAATGAAGTTGAAGGTTACATTGTATCGCTGGCATAAACAGCTTTTAAGTGGCTTAAGTATGTGATAGGATGTGCAGGATTTGTGTTACCAGCTCCTGTAACCCACCAAAAGTCAATATATCTACATTTTATATGGAAAAAGGTAACTGGGTGCTGATACAGTGTTGATACAGCTAGGCCAGAGTAAAGCCTGTGGATGCAGGGCTGTTAGGAGGCATTAGTCATTAGCCATGTGGGATGGGGCGGGTACTGTCCCATAGTGAGTTTCACTTCTCTCTACTATAGCCTAGAGTATACAAGAGTATGCTGACTTCAATTTGATGTTCAGAGGGAAAAAAAACTAGTGAAGTGGGGTAAATATGTCTTCAAGAGATAATCTTTTGTATTTTACTAGTTTGGTCATTTCCATCCCAAGCTTCTTTTGCATTCTTTTAACAGAAAAGAGATTAAACAGTTGCTCTCTGAGTTGGATGAAGAGAAGAAGATCCGTCTACGATTGCAGGTACTTAAATTATTTTTAATGTTGGGGATGTGTTGTCAGGTTTGATTTAGCCCCCTGCATTTTGGGGGTTTGCAGAGTGATTTAAACAATGTCCTTAACAGCATGCTTTAACTTGGTCAGGTAGATGGACTAAAGGGTCACTAATAGGCCCCTTCCAACCAAAATTATTCCATTCTAATCTATGCTGTGGGGTACTCTTCTATTCCATATACTTGACAAGTGGTTTGGTATTGATTATATTTTATATTTGATTGTATAGGGCAACTCTACTTCAAACTAGGGATAGAGAATTGAATTGTAATTTCACTGGACTGTTCCCTCTTTGTAAACACTTGGGAGTATGGTAAGGGTGACAGAACTGGGGATCCTCAATGTCTATGCTCCAGGACTGCCTAAAGGGCTTTATGTATCCAACCACATAGCAATATGGCTTCTAATAATATACAATTATTGTTCAGCTTAAACCAAAATTTATTCAGATAAAACCCAGTGAACATTTTTAATAGCCACTGTTGATTTCATCTAACAGGCCAGACTATTCAGATTTATCCAGATATAACTACATCTTTATGCAGAGACCTGCACTGATGAGTTTAAAATTATGATCTTACAGCTGAATGCTTTTACTCCAGTTCAAATGTTGCTTATACTGGTAATTGTTTAGATGCTGGATAAGATGGCATTATTAGCTTTCTATGAAGATAAGAGTTAACAGAAAAAGGTAGCATTTGTTTCAGAGTGCTCTGATAGACATGCACTAGCACAGGTCTCAGTCCATGTATTAAAGACTGCCTCGATGATGGTGCAGTTGCACAGAGGTTGAAACAGATGGGTTTGAATAAATCCTGGACCCCTGCTTTAGGGTTTCCAGTGTCTGTCAGAGGGACCAAGTATACAACTGGGGCTGCTGATGGTTTCAGCCACATCCTTTTAAGCATGCCTGTACATCCTTCAGAGCCTATAAGATGCATGGGCACAGGCTTGATGGTTGTAGAAGTCAACCACCTTGCCTGTAAGTGCAGCTGCTGGTGCATGGGCACGATGTTCGTTCTGCAGTAATGCTGGGCAGTGAGCTGTGTGGCTTGCAATAAAGAGATTGAAAGGTCTTGCAGTACATTCAGTGACTGTACTTGTCATGATCTGAGGGAGGAGGCTGTGAATGGTCATCTTATACATACAGTGGAGAAGCACCTCAATTTGTGAAATCTGTGGATATAGGAGTGGTATAACGCCTGGCATATAGTGGTATAACAGCTTTCACCTGTTGGCAAGAAGGAACATGCTTTTCAAGTGGCACCAACTGTGCTTCAGTTTGCTAAAGCATATAATATAATCAAATACTTTTTCCTCTGTTTGTTTTTAGATGGAAGTTAATGACATAAAGAAAGCTCTTCAATCAAAGTGAATACTTGATAGGTGGAATGTTGCATTATTCTTCATGACTGAGACTCAAATTTATGCCCCAGCCAAAATAACTTTGTGCCAAATGATTTAAGAATTGCCTCAACATCCCTTTGTTTGAAGGATTAGCACAACAGTTTTTGATAGCACAACAAAAATACCAATGAGAACAAAATTTCTACCCAAAGCCGTGCTGTACGGCACTAGTTGTGACTGAAATTGATCTTCTTGTGCTAAAGGCTCTCTACTTCAAGATCCTAGGTGAAATCAAAACTCAGGCAGTTTAGTCCATAGTGGTACTATTTTGATGATATTTTTCCATAAATAAAGTGTATTTCAGATTATCTGTTTACAAGCTTTATGATTTTGACTTTTGGTTTTTAATTGTCTTTTGTCACAGATTTTAAGATGTTTGTACTTCATATAGCCAGGAATGAATGTTAATGTTGGGGCTGAAGGGATTAGTTTTGCTTTGAGATTGAACAGCCTACTTTTCATTATGGTTTTAAGTTCTGTTAAATATGCAATTTTTTGTCCCCAGATCCCCTACAACTTAAACTTATATTGTGTACAGTAATGTATTTACACGAAGGAAACAAACCAACAGAAGTCTGGTCTTTGCAATGATTTGTGCCTTTCTTTGCCACACACTGACTGGAGCCGGTTGAGGCCAGGTCTCCCTATGTAGCTACCACGGCGACTCCTGTCCCCGGTGTCCGGCGGAGGTCACCTTCCCAGGGCTCAGCTGCTCGGTCAGGAGAGCGCGTTTGTGCCAGCTGGCAGGACAAAAGGGCACAGCTGAGAGCAGCTCTGTCCTCAGCAGCTGTGGCTTTTTAGCTTTCCTGGTTTGGATAGGCCTCTCCCTCAACCTGAATGTTCATCTCCGCTTGATTTTCATTAGATGATTTAAACACCCACCTCTGTCCCCAATTTTGCACAGAGTGAACAGAATATGCATTATTAAAGCAAAAAGAAATAAAAGTAATCTATAAAACATGAATAAAAAGTTGTATTATTTCATGCACAAGGTTTTCTGTCGTGTGACAGTGTTTCATTTGCTATTGACTTGGTATTATTTGCTATATAATATTGTACACCTACAGACTGATATATTTCATTGTCCTACTTTTGCAGCAGGACTGTCTTCTCAACATTTTGTTGAATCAGATGCTTACTTCAGTTTCTCTGTTTGCTTTCATTCTTTCAAAATTTCACATTTTCCTGGTTGTGGTTTCATGTGTTCTTAACTAAGCACAGAGTTTCTCATATCTTGTCAGCAATCTCTGTTAATTTTATGAAGTGTTTAAATAACAGATATTTTTGCATTGCATGGAGTGAGTGGGTAAGTGATGCTGGTGATACTTCCAAGTAACAAAACCCCACACACAAAGGATCTACTTGTCATCCCATCAAGTGCTAGAGCTGACTCCAGCAGCACGCTATATCAACATGAACCTCCCTGCCTGCCAGGAGCTGGGTGAGATGTAGTGTGCAGTTGGCTGGTCACATTCACATATGTGGGGAGAGTTCCCATAACCTTTTTGATATGAACAAATATATAAAATACACAGTCCACCATACCCAAATCTGGCTTTATAGGTCTCAACTGGCAGTACAGAACCTTACTGTTGGGATGATTTTTTCTTCCAGAGCATCTGCTTCCATTGTAACAGTGGTATCTGAGATTTGAAGATTGGGTAGTGAATCTTGAGATTTTTTTTTAAAGTCACAATACATTGCTCAATGTATTTGCTCACAATACATTGCTCAGATGCTCAGATAAAATATTTTATCACTGAAATGCTCCTATGTAACATTTCTAAATATCTACATTAAAATATTTTTATACAAAGGATGAGAGTTCTGCCATAGCTTTCCAGCAATAAGGATTTCTACATTACTTCCATGATTTTTGTAAAGTTAGTAGCAGAGTTAGGAGAACAGAAAAAATTAAGGGATAAGGAATAAGAATTCTATTTGGGTTTGTAGTTATACATTTGCCATGTTTATCCAGGAATTAACTGCTCTGGATTCCTAATTCCCTGGAAAGAGATCAACTACTCTATCTGTGGTAAATAAAGTATTGATTCCTGAGCTGTGCCTCAGAAATATATCGGACATTTCAGAAGTGTTCCATCTTTTGAAAATGAAAGTCTGAATTTGGAACTAGATTCCAAAAGAAAAAAAAATTACATTTTTTTTCCCCCTCCTGTTGAGATGATAGCTTGTCATTTTACAAATCTAAGTTAGAAGTCTGAAAAACCATGTTTTGTCGAAGATGGTTAAATAAGTATTTGTAGAAATGCTTTGCTTTGCAAGTTGGTTTTTCTGGAAGAGGACACTGTAGAAATACAAGTTCTTCTTGCTGCATTTCATTATAATAATACAAAGTATTTCACATAAGACATGGATTTTCCCTTTCTAAAGAATATCGAATATGCATTAAACATGTGGATATAAACTGCTGCTTTTAAAAGTGTTTGGTTTTATATTTAAAGAAAATCAGAAAACACTGGTGGGATACAAAGTGATTTTGCTGTGAAAATGATTAAACATTGTTATTTGAAGGTTGTGTAAAATGACTTTTCATTAACATGCCTATACCATTTCTGTAGCAGACTTTGGTTTCTATGTAGAAGTCAGGTGTGAAATATCAGGGTCATACTTTTGGATGATAATACCCAAATTCTTGATTTGGTAAATTTTTTGTTATTAAGAAAACAGTTTTATTTTCTCTTTTTGTTCTTACAATTCTAAAAGGAGCAAGTATTTCTTAATGTGAGATCATAGCACTTAGAATTTAGAAAAGTTTTACATGGAAGTAAGATGGCAAATACTCAGAAGTGTATTTTAAATTTCATCTTCTGCGGTTTTCTTTGTAATTCATTTGTGAATGAGTAAAAGGTTCAGGCGAATTTTTTGGTTATGCAAACAGGTCAAAGGACTGAACTCAACTCTGCAGTAATTTTTATGGGTTAATCTGTATATGAAATGTCCATGAGCGCCATGCTCTGTGACAGACAGGACTGAAATTTGCACGTATGAAACAAGGTGAGACAGCGCCGTAAAACACCCTCAGAAGTTCATGCTCTGGTGGCGTTGCAGAATCCTTTCCTTCCTCTTCTTGAGGAGCTGCGTGGGTGTGAGCAGCCCCCTGTGCCCTCCCGCCAGGCTGTCGGGCTGCAGGGGCGGCTGCTTCCCCGTGCCTGGAGCCTGTGGCACGGACGTGGCTTTGCTGCTGCAGGGCTGGCGTGGCTGGAGGTGTCTGGTGTTCCTGTGCTTTCCTTGGCCATGCCACAGCACAACCGTGCTGACATTTTCAGCCTCTGCCTGGGGCGTTTTTGCTCCAGTGGCCTGCCCTGGGAGCAGGGGGCTGTGGTTGGAGGCTCTGCGGTTCATGGGTCCCACAAATAGCAAGCACCACAAGCCAAGGGGAGAGCATGGCTGGGTGGAGTGATGGGCAGTGCTCCTGCTTGCAGGAGTGATCAGGAGTCTCTGCAGGGCCAGGAAGAGGTGAGGACTCCAATGTCTGCTTCTCCCCTGAATAAGGACCCTGGGGCTGGAAACTGGGCAGAAGTTCATTGATGAGGAAAGTGTGAAGGCTGATGAGAAAGGTGATACCTTTCACACAGGACAGCTGTGGTTCGAAAGCAGGCAGGATTTTTGTTTAAAGTAGAAACAGCTACTTTACAATTTGACACTGAGGAAGCTTTTCAACTGTGTGAAGATGGCAGTGCTGCTGAGCACGAGCAATTCCCATAGGCTTTGGTGAGGACAGGGTCCTCCAAGCATTGAATTCTGCTCATGGCAATCCTTAATTTAAAAAGAGCCACACAAAACATTGGGCAATTGTCTCCATGGTTATTAATACCCTTCAGCCAGAACTTAGATTTTGCTTGGCACCTTTTGCCTCAGCTGACTCTTGAGCTGGCCTAGGAATTAGCAGCTGGATGTGTGTGACCCGGCCCATTCACTCCCAGCTTCCTGCAGCTGCTTCCCTCCTCCTGAGCTGTAGCCTCCCCACTCCAGCCATTCCCTGCCTTTGGAAAATAACCAACTTCTTTAGGTCCCCACACCTGAAGGTGAGAGAGTGCCAGTGCTTCCCAGCCTGGAAAAGAGAACTGAGGAAGCAAAAGACACCATGTAAATGCCATCAGGAATCTGCAGTGCTGAGTGTGTGCCAGGGAATGAGCAGCCTCGGTGCCACCAGCCCAGTGCCACCAGCCCAATGCCACCAGCCTGGTGCCAGCCAGGAAATGGCCCTGGGCCATCCTCCCCTCTGCTTTTGACTCGGGGAACAAAGGTTATTGCACTCACTCCACACGTTGCTGTTTGGTGTTCTCTCTTTTAATGAAGATGATTTCCAGTCCAACACAGACACAACTTTTGGAGGTAGGGAGTGTAAAGCACAGGCAGCCTCACTCAGGCTTTTCTTGAGCCAGAGATGCAGCTGAGTTGCCCCTTGAAGTGCTTACAGTTCCACTATTGAACAGTGTGAGGGGCTGGAGTGCAAACAGCTGAATTAACTAAATGGCTTCATGCTCCTGTGAAATTTTATTTGAAGTATTAGAAATTAAATTGTATTTTTAAATGTGCTAACACTGTAGGATGAAAAATTTAAGATGCAAATTTTTTTTATTAAATTGTTACCCTACAAACTGGAGTGATTAGTATATTTTAGCGAGATAATTAACTATAATTCTAGACAAATCACTAGATTCAATTGTCTTGACACATTTTAAGGGTTACAATAGGGAGGCGATCATTAGGCCTACCAATCTCTCAGCCCCCTTGGATAAGCAGGTTATCTTCCTTTTTTCATGTAGGAAAAGCAACTGGAGAATATAGCTGATGATAATCACAAGAAAACAAAATTGGCATTTATCAGTATGATCTTAAAACATCTAATCGGATATTTCTTGAAGGAAAAAACTTGAAAATTAGAACACCAAAGCAAATTAGATAAGAATGAGCACACTTCAAAACCAATTTTGAATATCAGGACATTAAAGAAACAGCTGTTCTCGAAACGGTCTGTGGTAAAACCCCTTCACTTCATTGAGCCCAGCCCCAGCATTTTCATTTGGTATGGGAGATCATATTCCTCAGTCCAACAAGCCCTTCCCTATGTCCTTCATCCCAGCCACTGAACAGCAAACATCCTTTTAGCAAAGGGGCCCGTCAGGCTGCTCTTCACCTCCTCGGGTAACAGCAATGAAGAGTTTGGGATTTTGTGAAAGCACTTCTTGGGCTTATCTTAGAGCCAGTGAAAATTAAGCTGGGCAGCTGTCCCTGCTGACCCATTACCTGGGTTTACCCCCTTCTAGGGATGGTTTTCATTGCAAGGGGCACAGCACGTAAAGGAGAAAGCTCAATCACACAATCTGTGCACTGTGCTCTTTCTCCTAGAACAGAGCACCAAACAGACAACAGCTAATGCAGGGTAAGTAGAACAAAAGGTGCACCTGCATGGAAATTGCTACTCCTAGATAATTTGGCTGCTCTGGATTCAAAGAGCCAAATTTACTGAGCTCAGCCAAATTTGCTGTTGGAAGCACAGATGCAGCTATTTAGCAAATAAAAGTACTAGGTAGGGGGAGACATGATGTAAATTTGGAGACCCCAGCAAATGCAGTGCTCATTCATTTTGTCATGTTTTTTGTGGGAGGTGCAGGTTGTTTGTGCCGTGACAACACAGTTGTGCCTGAGATCAGTGTGTCACTGATCTCAGGGGAATGGAAAACTGATGTTCTAACCTGAAGAGCCTGCTCACCTTAGAAGTAAACTCTGTAATCTCTTAACACAAGATGTCACATTACTGCAATAACTACAGACTTTAATATTGGAGTTGATTTACATATATTAAAGTCAATAAGGCTGATTCAGAGCTCCCAAATGTCACCAGTGTGGTCTCTCCAGCTGAGTGCAAGTCTGGGGTAAGCCTGAATTCTCCTATCCCCCTTTTCACTCACCTTCTGTGTGCCCTGACTCAGGCCTCATGCTTCCTCAGCCTTCCCCTGCATAATTGTA